GCTCTCTGCCCTTGCTCATTGGTCAGTCACCAATAAGAATTTATTGGATACTACACATTGCCAGCAGTGTGCTAGACCTGAGAGAGAAATATAGATCCTCAAGTGACTTACAGTCCCATTGGGGGAACTGAGACTTCTTAAATACGTGAAAGGCTTTAGAAAGAATTGGGAGCAAACCATGAGAGACGATGGACTCTGAAAAACAAACTGAGGGTTCTGTAGGGGAGGAGGGTGGGGGGATGGGTTAGCCTGGTGATGGGTATTAAAGAGGGCACATGCTTCATGGAGCACTGGGTGTTATGCACAAACAATAAATCATGGAACAAAACTGATGTATGGTGATTAACATAACAATAAAAAATTTAAAGAAAAAAAAGAATTGGGAGTTCAGTCACTGTGTGGCAGGGTTTACTCAAGAAGGCTTCTATACAAAAATCTTTGGCATCTCATCTCTCACTTGACACATCTTTATTTGGTATATAGAAAAAGGGAAAAAAGTAAGATAATTTGCTCATTATAATTTTTTTTATTTTTTTAAAGATTTTATTTGTTTATTTGACAGAGACAGATAGCCAGAGAGGGAACACAAGCAGGGGGAGTGAGAGAGGGAGAAGCAGGCTTCCTGCGGAGCAGGGAGCCCGATGTGGGGCTCGATCCCAGGACCCTGGGACCATGACCTGAGCCGAAGGCAGACGCTTAATGACAGCCACCCAGGCACCCCTCATTATAATTTTTTTAAAGATTTTATTTATTTGACTGACAGAGCGTGTGCACAAGCAGGGGGAGCGGCAGGGAGAGGGAGGAGCAGCCTCCCCACTGAGCAGAGAGCCCAACACGGAGCTCGATCCCAGGACCCTGAGATCATGACCTGAGCCAAAAGCAACCGACAGAGCCACCCAGGTGCCCCTCATTATAATTTATATTAAAGTTTTGTCGACTGGTATTGTTATAAATGGAATCTAAACCCACACATCACCTATGATGATACTGTCTTAAGTCTGATTACAAAACAATGTAAAAAATAAGGGGTTTCTGGGTGGCTCAGTCAGTTGAGTGTGTGACCTTGATTTCAGCTCAGGTCATGATCTCGGGGTCGTGGGATCAAGCCCTGTGTCAGGTTCCGTGCTGGGCGTGGAGCCTGCTTGGGATTCTCTCCCTCTCCCCTGGCTCATGGGTACTCGTGCACACACTCTCTCTCTCTCTCTAAAAATAAATTTAAAAAAAATGAGACACAAGCATGGAATTAAGACAGAATGGCACTAGTAAGTTTGGAGGAGAAAGGGCTGGAACTGACAAGCTTCAGGGAGAAGGAGAAGAAAAGCTGGGCTTTGTTGAGTGCACTGGACACTGGAGAACATCATAGTTGGGATCCAACGGTTAATGGACCGATCTGGTTAGGACTAAAGGTTAGGAGATAGTGGGAAGAGAAGGTTGGGTAAATTATTGGTGACAAGTACTACATTATGAAACCTTTTTATAACTCACAAATGTTTACTGAGCACTTTTGTTAATGAGTCACTTCTGTGTTTTATTGCTATAAAAATGTTTTCGTTAATGCTCTTCAAGATTATCTTTTCAGTACAGAAAGGAAAGCAACCTATAAAAATTGTTTCCTTGGGGTGCCTGGGTGGCTCAGTTGGTTAAGTGGCTGCCTTCGGCTCAGGTCATAATCCCAGGGTCCTGGGATCGAGTCCCGCATCCAGCTCCCTGCTCAGTGGGGAGCCTGCTTCACCCTCTCCTTCTGCCTGCTACTCTGCCTACTTGTGCTCTCTATCTCTCTGTCAAATAAATAAATAAATCTTAAAAAAAAAAAAAAGTTTCCTTGCCATGGTGGTACCCAGGGCAACCTTTCATTTAACAAAGACCTGGGGAGTCTATTTGAGTTTAGTGCCAGGCTGCAGACTTCACAAGGGGTGGGCTGATAGCCCAGGTCCTGGCCACGGAGACTCCATCCAGGGAGACAGGGGTTCTCACCAAACTTATACTTCTCCCGGGAGAAATTGTCAATAACTCTTGAGTTGCCCCTCTTAGCAAGTTCTTCATTATGTGTCACTTAAGCAGTGTGGTGTGCGGCTCATCCTTGGACAGGGAGTTGGGTGATGGGTTCAAGCCTGTCTTCATGGTGTCACTTTTCTCAGTTGTGAAGTGGGTAGGTCTAAAAGGGGTGGGACGCCTGGCTGGCTCAGTCACTCTTGATCTCAGGGTCATGAGTTCGAGCCCCATGTTGGGTGTAGAGATAACTAAAATAAAAACTTTAAAAAAAATAAAAGGGGTTTGTAATTTGTACGGCATAGTCCAGATGTGAGTTGCAGGCATACCTACAAATTACGCTGTTCTCTTGATTCAAATTGGAAGACCTTCTGTCTTTGAGGCATACTGTTTTTGAGGCATATTTTGAAGTACTTATGTTTACACAGAAAACCACTCTACTGCTTTATTTCTAAAGGAATCTACATAGCAGGATTGATGGGTTTCTCCTTTCTGGAGAGCCTGCCAAAGTCAGATTCCTGGGCCTTACCTCAGACTCGTTAAATCAGACTCTTCTAGGGCAGATCCTAGGAATCTGCATTCCAACATGCATCCCAGGTGATTCTGATATGCTAGACTTTCAGGAATTAGGAACCATACATCTGAGTTATGGTCCTCTTTTGCTTGGACTTCCAGAGCCTTCTGGGAAGCCCAGAACAGGACTAGGCATCGGCACCATGGATGCTCATAGAAAATCAGTGAATAGGAGTGCCTGATTTGACAAGAACAGTGCTGAGTGTTATATATACATCGTGGTGCCTGCCCTCAAGGAGATCTTGTCCATATAGCGATAAGAATCCACCCATGAAAAATACTCAGATGGAGCCATAAATTAAAAATTATGGCGCATGCTTTGAGAGAAGATGGAGGCATTTGATACAGAATGAGAAATCATCCACAGTCAGGATAGGACTTTCTGGGAGAGTAATAAGTGAATAGAGACCTGAAGGCTGACTGGATAAATAATCCAAAGAAACATACAGAATTGTACTTGTCCAATATGGTAACCACTATTCAGTGGTTTAAGATAAAATTATGCAAAATAGAAAATTTGGTATGTTCACTGGAATTAAACACTTTTTAAAATTTAGTGTCTAAGTTATATTAGCTACACTTCAAATTCTCAGTAGCCACATGTAGCTACCATATTAGACAATGCAAAAGTAATACATTTTTATCATTTCAGAGAATTCTCTTGGACTACCCTGATCTGGGCCAGGGGTAATGAAACAAGTGTGACACACTGCCTATTTTTGAAAATTAAGTTTTCTTGGCACACAGCCACACTCATTCTTTGCAAATGCTCTTCGGGTGCTTGCACACTACAATGGCGGAGTTTTAGCGGTTGTGATAGAGACTATAGCCAGCCAACAAAGCCTCAGTACTCTATGGTCTTTCATTAAAAAGCATGTGAGGGAATAGGTTTAACGTGGCTATGTAGGGCGAGGAGAGCAGGTGAGTTCCTTGTATAGTGCACTCTTGCTGCACAGATGTTCAAGTGCTACAAGAGATTACGTTGCTTTGCCCGCATGCACACAGGCAGCTGCAGATGTATTCATTTCTTCTTTTCTCTCCATCTGTGGCTTTTGAGGCAGCAGTCTCTTGTCTAGACAAATTGGAGCAGGTCCAAGGAAGAGCAACCACATTGGTGAAGCAACTGTGTCCTTGGAGGCACAATTGACAGTGTTGATACACTTCTGTCCTGGGTTGGAGGCTGAACTAAAGTTCTCTTAAAATCCAGTTACTTCTTCCTTTAAGATGATATGTATTCCAAACAAAACTGTTGAACTTTTGTTGTGGAACCCAACGCACCATGTGAAGATCTAGTCCCCTTGCTTATACAATCAATTCAACATAGTGAAGATTTCATATTATGAGATATGATCAACAGATATCAAAGTTCATGTGAAAAATCAAGTGGATCTTGATTTTTAGGAGTGTTTCTTCTAGGTCATTTAGCTTCTCTACCTGTGCAAATGGAATTTCATCAATGACATTTATTAGCTGAGGTATACATTTTAACACACATTTTAAAAACCCTAATTTCAGATTGAGTTAATTTCATGGGGAACTCTTAGAAATTTCAGGAGTCTTATCAGTATATGAAATCCTAAATGGGTTATTTAGAAATTTAAGATTTTTCACTTTTGTTACTTCTGGATTAAGTTCACTTAAAAATACTCATAGGAAAAAAAGTACTCATGGGGACTATATATGATTGAGATGGTACATTTCCCTCTTATTTTCTTGCAGATTATTGTTTGCTGTAGCAAATGAGTCACTGATTTATCAGCAACTAGCCAGAGTAATAGTGTTGTTCTAGCCCTAGTCCTAGCATTGCACTACCATTGGAAATCAAAAAGACCTTCACCTTATTTACATTACAATCCAGAATGTGCAAACTGTGTTCTATACCATGAGAGGAACTGTTATCTCTGTATTTTTTTTTTAATTTTCTTCCTTAGATAAGAAAATTGAGGCTCAGAAAATTGGAGTTTGTCAAGAGTCACACGTTTAATAGTGACAGAGCAGGGAATCAAGTCTAGATGTTTCCTACTCCACATTCTTTTTCCTTCACTATTTTTGTTCTTTGTCACTGGTTTTCAGATAAGATAATTTAAAGACCTGTTTTATATGTAACATCAGAGCTTAAGTCTGAATTTTGTCGAATCTGTTTTCTGTATGATTTTATCAATAGTATCTGACTCAAATTCATTGCAGCAAGAATTGGATCAAAGGATGGTTTTTTTTTTTTTTATCTCCTTAGAACTGAACTTGATTTCTAAAGCCTTCCAGAAGCAGATATTTTTTCCCATACTTGTGAAGTGATTCTTTTCAACGTTTAAAATCTAAATCACTATTTACTGTTTATGAGCTGCCCTCATATGCAATATGGATTATTTTGTTGTTTAAGTTTTTTTTAATTTAATAACCACTAAGTAAATATTGCTAATTCTCTTCTATTGTTTCAGATTTGATGGGAACTTTAATACCAATGTATCTAGAACAATTAGTTGCGATCGACTTTCTACCACTGTTAATAGCCGGGCCTTCAATCCAGGACGAGATTTAAATTCAGGTCAGTAATCTCTTGGTTTATAAAGGTGAACTATATTCCACCACATTCAAGTTGAATAAATGTATTGCTTTAGACATTTTCCCTTAAGATTTGAAGAGAAAATATCTGTAAAATTGGATATTTCTTTCTGGAAAGTTGACACTCAGGGAAAGGAAAAAGAAAAGAGCCGACCTGTATTGAGCATTTACTATATAGTATACATATGGCTAGACTCTTCAATCCATTATCTCATTTGATAGGAGTTTTACATTTGTTATTTTAAAGATTATTTTAGAGACCCAGTTATCTTTGCAGTAAAAAGTATTGAATTTATATTCCCTGTTTGTAATTTTTAATTTGTTTTGGTATTTTGGAAAAAAGGATAAGGGAGAATTTCTAATAACAGTGGTAGGATGCTATATATTGAAGTTGAACTTTGTTCTCAGTTTTGTTAAAACTTAGTCATATGCAGTAGTAATAACTACTAGGGTACCTGTATATATAGTTCTATAGAGTTCCAAAGGGACATAGCGTCTCTGCTTTCTTGTCCTGTTGTTCCAGTCTATATTTCTCACCCTATTTGTCTTGTTATGTACACTTGTTGGCTGATGGGCTTCAGAACCTAAAGGCTTCCCCTTTTAAGAGCTGAAAATACCTTTAGAGATCACCTACCAGTTTCAATCCTTAGATTTTACCAAGGAAAAATCTGAGGCTCAGAAGGATCCTAAGGTTTCCCTTATTACTGGAGAGAGAAAGGATCTAATCTTAGATATGACAGACTGTATTTCCCAAATACCATGTCTCTTACAGACATGTAAAACCTTAGAGAAGCTGGAGGGACAGAATATGTACTTTCAGAGCCCCATCCAGTCATGGTCCATGGAGAGAACTCTAGCCTTTGGGAGTTGTATACATAAATCAGGTAATCTAGTAAGTCTGGAAAGAAAGAACTGTAAGCTTTGTCGCTTAAGGATATTAAAACTCTAGCTGCTGGCTAAATGGTCAACCTAAATATGCCAGGTACATATCATATAGACCAATACATAACGGATTCAGTTTTTTTTTTAAATTGGTCAGAGAATCTGGAGACCATCTGGAGCAGGTGGGATTAGCTATGAGAAAAGAAGCTCAACACTCTGGTTTCTCTTCAGATCGCATAAATCTTTCGCCTTTTACTAAAGATTTCTGTGGAGAAAAGCTCAGTGAAAATATTTTTCATAAAAAAAATAAGAGCACAGAAGGACATGAAATAGGCAGAGTAAATGAATTACGGAAGATTCCATAGCTGGCACAGAACACAGAGCTAGAACTTAAATTTTCTAGTTCCCAAATTCAGTGCTTACCTTTTCCTCGGTTATGCTCAGTAACACAAGACAGGTTGGGTCTGAAGACTTGAGCTTAAAATAGCAATTTTTTTAAAGATTTATATATTAGAGAGACGGAGAGCTTGTGCACGGGGTTGGAGGGACAGAGGAGAGAATCCCAAGCAGACTCCCCACTGAGCACAGAGCCTGATACGGGACTCGATCCCACAACCCATGAGATCATGACCTGAGCTGAAATCACGAGTCAGAGGCCCAACCAACTGAGCCACCAAGGCACCCCAAAATAGCAATCTTTGAATAAAATCGGATATAAATGTGCCCCAGATATACACATTTTGTGTAGTTAAAAATATGTTAACTTCTGGGTATTTGAATTCATAAGGAAAAAATATAGTCCATTACTACTTTGTATACATAAGATCTAGAAGGGCTCACACATAAATGTTAATAGTTACCTTTTAGTGATAGAATAGTGGGGTATTTTTCTTACCAATTTTCTTAGGTTTTTTTAAAGATTTTATTTGAGAGACGGAGAGCAGGAGGGAGGGGCAGAGGGAGAGAGAGAAGCAGGGAGCCCAATGCGGGACTCGATCCCAGGACCCTGGGATCATGACTTGAGCTGAAGGCAGACACTTAACCAGCTGAGCCACCCAGGTGCCCTGATTTTCTTAATTTTAAACTAAGCATGCATTGCTTTTATAACGGGGGAGGTGGGGGAAATAAAGCAAGAAGGAATTACAGACTACTTCCCAATATATTTTCACTCCTTTCTGGTAGACAGTACCTTTCATAATACATATCTGATAGTAAATCCTCAGTCAGGTGTCACGGTTCTAGGCAAAGCTCCATTCCCCTTCTGGCTGTGTGATTGGGACAATAAGAAAGTGTAGGCTGGGCCAGCCACACTGAGGGTGGTGCATGCTCACTTGGGAGCCAAAGCAACTCTGTCCTGCCAGGATCCCTCACCTCAGTGGGCCAGGCCTGGAGGATCTGGAAGCTGCCATAGCCAGGGTCCCCTCCTCATTGCCTTGTTTTATATCTATTCATTGTTTCTAATAATGAGTATATTGTTGAGCTCTATCTCCATCATTAATAGTCATTATATACCTATTGAGCACCTTCTATGTGGTAAACACTTTCGTTTGTCCTAGGTCAGCTGTAAACAAAGCAAAAAACTTATATTCTGGGAGCTGGGAGACATAAACCTTAAACAAAAGGACAAGTAAATATACATGTCTGGTGATGATGAATGCTACAGAGGAACAATAACACAGGGATGAGACATAGTGGTACTTTTGACTGGGGATGGGGGGGGAGGGAGGGAGGAGGGAGAAGAAGGAGTCTTACTACTTTATGAAAGGGCTCATCAGTGAGATCTGAATAAGTGGGGTTGTAAAACCATAAGAATAACAGGAGGAAATGTATCCCAGGCAAAGGGTTTGAGTTAGGAGAGTGTTTAGTGTGCTAAGTAATAGCAAGAAGGCCGCTGTAACTGTGATTCAACGAACAAGGATTGATCGTAGAAGATGAGACCAGAGAGGCAGCTGGGGACCAGATCACCAAGAGCCTTATTTTACTGGCTCTTAGAAGGACTTCAGCTTTTGCTGTGAATGAGATAGGAGATCATGGTGGAGGGGAGGTCGGGGCAAGGAGCAAAAAGGGCTTATGCAGAGTCATGACTTGACTTAGATTAAAAGGTTTATGGACTGCTGTGGCAAGAAAAGATTATAGCAAGGCAATGGTGGAAGCAGGGAGACCATTTAAGAGGTTATTCCAAAATCCAGGTGGCCGGTGGCAATGGCATTAATAGTGTAATAACAGTGGAGGTGGTGAGAAGTGGTTGGATTCTGAATATGTTTTGCAGGTAGAACCATTAGGATTTGCTAATGAATTGAATGGGGGTGGGGAGTATATGTAAGAGTAAGAGAAGAGCTGGGAAGGACTTCCAAGATATTTGGCCTTATCAAAGAGAAGGACAGAGTTGCCATTTACTATGATGGGGAATACTGGTGGCAGGCAGGGAGTCAACATTTCAGATGTAGAAACGCAAAGTTTAGATGCCTATTAGATATCCACGTGGAAAGTTCTCCTAGGCAGTTGGTTATAGAAGTGTGGAATCTGGGGAATGGGTCAGACTAGAGATTGAAATTTGAGATTCGTTGTGTATAGGTAATACTTAAATCATGAGACACAAAAAGATCACCTAGCAAGTGGCTGTGGGTAAAAAAGAGAAGAGGTTCAGGACTGTCTTAGGACACCTTACCATTTAAAGGTCACTGAAATGAAGAGGAAGCACTGAAGAAATCTGAGAAGGAAGTAAGTCTGGTAGGAGAACCAAGAGAGTCATCTTCTTGAATCCAAGTAAAAAAGTATTTCAAGAAGCCGGGAGAGATCAACTGGATTAAGTAGGCCCAGTAAGACAAAGGCTAAGAAAACGGACATTAGATTTAGGAACATGGAGGTGATTAATGAACTTGACGAAGGTTGTTTGGTATAACAGTAGAATGACAGGCTGATCCTGGTTAGTTCAGGCTCTTAAGAATGGACAAGAGGAGCTGGAAACAGTAAGTACATGAACTCCCAAGGTTTGCTGAAAGGAAAGCTGGAGTGCCATGTAGAGTCCAAAGAGTGTTTTTAAATTGAGAGAAATTACAGCAAGGTTATGTGCCAAAGGGAGTGATCCAGTAGAGGAAAGCTTAAAGACCCAAGAGCAAGAAGAGAGACAGTTACTGGAGCCTTTCCCTTGATTAGGCAAGAGATGGTGGGATTCCAATGAGGTAGTCCAAAAGCACAGTGTTCATTCTTAATAAGAGGAGGGAAGGAAAAGCGAGTGTGCAGAGATGCCCATAATGATCGATGTAGTGTCAGGAACACAGAGACATTCCCTTCTTAGTGATCTTGTTTTCTCAGAGACTTAGGAAGCACGATCATCAGCCAAGAGTGAGGCAGAGAAAGAGGCATTGAAGACCTCCTAGTTACATTAAGTTTATCTTCTATAAATGAGGTTTTAGAGTAGAACTCAGCTGCACACATAATTGGGAATCCTGACAAAATGCTGTTTTATTACAGTAGTTGTTTGTGAAGGGGGAGAGAGTTTGAAAAATCAGGAGGAGGGGAGGAAGGAGATGGTGAGGGCATAGGTACATGGTTAAAGATCAGATTTTGAATTTTGCTGTTTCTAAAAGCATGTCTCAAGTATAACATCCTACCTAACAAGAGTTGTTCTCGGCTCAGTCGACATAGCTGGATTTACAAGCAGTTTTTGGCAATGTTCGGGTTTTTGAGAATGGACTTGCTTGTATTTAAAGTTGTGTGACATCCCACCAAGCAGTGGCTGCATCCCAAAGTCCACATTCTTGAGCAGTCATTTGTAATGTAAGAGGAGTGGTAGATGGTGGAGGGTGACCTCAGAGCTCCCCCTTTTCCTCCTCTCCAGCTCATGCCTCCTTTCAGAGCAGAATTAATGTACTTCGTGGGCTATCACATGTCTGATATTTACATCTGTAAGATGTCCAGCCTCAGGCTTTTTCAGACTGTATATAATCCATCAATGGGTCCCTAATTGATAACACAGTTTCAGATTGCCTTTCAGACTAGCTAGAAACAGACCCACATAAATTGTAAACCATTCTTAGCTTCATTTACCCAAAACTAGTTCATGTGTCCATCCATCCAACACATATGTGTATTCTTTTT